CTTGTAGTTTGTCAACTTCTAAACTTCTATTTCCACATGCACACACCTTGAACTTTATGTAAAGTTTACTGCTAAAACACACACATAATCCTCCAGAGTGACCAGACCAGGCACACTAGTTGATCTAATGCTGACCTAATGAGCAAACATAATTGCAGAAGGACTATCCTCAACCACATCATACAAGCATTTAGTCATGATTCATACATCAAGCTGGATCTTTAAATGAAGCTTTATGTGCTCTTTTATCTAGAGACATAATTTTCACTACAATTAAAATAGAAAAGATATTAAACACACTGAAGCCTTTATTTTCCACCCCACAAGCATCATTATAATAACAACAAGTTATTTGAGCCCAACTACACCACCACTTTTATAACACAACATGCAGCTTTCATATTCAACATATAATGTAAACCTTTACAGATGGAGATTCATACAGGAGGTAGACAATCTAGTCTTTTACTGTGTAACCCTTATTAGCAGCTTATATGATGCTCACTAAAATCATTATTTTACAGACTTTGTGGACAGCTAGATTATGATGCATTCTAGGTCAGTTTTCCTTTGTCATTAAATGTTTCCATTCAAGTACACATTCAGCCTCTGTCCTGATTTCTGACATCCCCTTGTTATATAACTAATAGAGATCTCTCTCTCTCTCTCTCTCTCTCTCTCTCTCTTTGTCACTCACTCACATTATCTTGTCTCCTATTCCTTGATATTTTATCAAGAAATATCTCACGCTGTGCCCTTTACCTGACAAAAGTGTTTCACATGTATATCTTCCCTGAGCCTCCTTTCTGAACACACAAAGAGGGCTGCACATCAAAATGGCTGCCGTGCATCACTAACACCAATGCTGCACAGGGATGGTGGATACTGTGCCGGTTTACCACGTGCCTCTTCCCCTCCCCCGCTGCCTCTCTCTTCCTCTCATCACACTGCTTTTCTCCCTCCTTCTCAATCTCCCCAGCACCAGAAGTGACTCCTTCCTTTTCTCTTCCACACATCTTAATCAATATTATTGTGTCATTCTCTGCATTTTTTAGTGATTTGCATCACTCTCTTTTGTTATAGTTTGCCTGCATCCATCCCTGCTCCCTTTTTCTCTGTGTGTAGCTCTGTGCCTATGGCTGCACCATGTTAAGAAGGGAACTAGGTCACTGAAAAGTAGTGCATTGCGTGGTTGTCTGTCCCTATGTGGGAGCGATCTGTAAAAGGGATGAAGCCTAGAATGTTTTTCTTTCATTGAATCTTCTGTATTGTTCTCTCACACATACAGTATTATAAGGCAGCCTGTCAAAGTGGAAAGGGATCTTAATATACGTTTACTTGGTTTGTCTGCACATAACATCATTATTCAATCTAAGATGTTGAAAAACTGTGATAAATAAACCAATATGAATGAATGAATATCAAAGAAGGGAATTAAGGTGAAAAATGCAGCAAAAAATATGCTAATAAAGCAAGGAGAATGTAAGGTTACCTTACAAAAACAAATAAAAGCACAGAGGCAGATAGAGATATAGCCTTTGTAAAAACAACAAGATATGCAACAGCAACAAGAGCCATATCTAAATTATGTTTTGGTTAAAGTTTGGCTAGTAGTATTAGTAAGGTAAGGGGCATTAAGCGGGGTACATAGTGACAGATAAACAGATGGTCCATATAGTATCAAATGCCAATTTTCCCACTATCCCTAACACAATGTTTAATTCTCATAACCAAACAGAAGATGCAAAAAGACTAAATGACTAATTATGGCACAGTATGATACTGAATACACATTTACTTAAAATAATGTATTGTTGGTATAATATCAGAACTATCCAAATAATGAGTACCTGTTCTGAAGTACTGATAAAAAGAAAACACACAAAACAAACCAACGACATGGGAACAAATTTTAAGGAAGCAAAGAAGAGTCTGATCTCACCTCTGTGAGTATATTCTCTGACTCTGTTTTATGTCTTGGCACTGTCCTGGTGGCACTGTGGTCAACACTCAGAGTGCTCTGACTGAAGGGTCGCGAGCACTTCATATCACTCTTCCGGGAGTCAGTGGTTCCGTACACCTCATAACTGAACGCCGGCTTCAACGTACCAGTAGCTCCTACGTCTGCGTAAAGGGGCGGGTAATACGGAATGACAGGAAGATTTCCACCAGCTTTGTAAAACAGACGCTCGCGTCTCCATCTGTAGATTTTCACTGATATAATAACCACTAAACACGTGATGAAGAGGAAGGAAACTACAGCCAAAGCCAACACTAAGTAAAACGTCAGGTTGTCATTGTACTCCTTGTCGTGTGTAAAGTCAGTGAACTCCGACAGCACTTCAGGGAAGCTGTCCGCCACCGCCACGTTAACAATGACTGTAGCTGAACGAGAGGGCTGCCCGTTGTCCTCCACTATAACAGTCAGTCTTTGTTTCACAGCATCTTTATCAGTGACTTGGCGGATAGTTCTTATTTCTCCATTCTGTAAGCCCACTTCAAACAGCGCCCTGTCTGTGGCTTTCTGCAGTTTATAGGAGAGCCAGGCATTCTGTCCAGAGTCCACATCAACAGCCACCACTTTAGTGACCAGATAGCCCACATCTGCTGAACGAGGCACCATCTCAGCCACCAGAGAGCCACCAGTCTGGACTGGGTACAGAACCTGAGGAGGGTTGTCGTTCTGGTCCTGGATCATTATTTTCACACTCACATTGCTACTGAGTGGAGGGGAGCCTCCATCCTGAGCTTTGACGCGAATATGGAACTCTTTTGTTTGCTCATAGTCGAAGGAACGCACAGCAAGTATCTCTCCACTCTCTGCATTCACTGAAAAAAAAGCTGAGGCTGACATCCCATTCAGCTGGCTATCTTCGAGGAAATAGGAAATGCGCGCATTGTTCCCAGAATCTTTATCATTGGCTTTGAGAGAGATGATTGACATGCCAGGTGAATTATTTTCAGCGATGAAAGCTGTCAAAAATGGTTGTGGGAACATTGGGGCGTGGTCGTTTACGTCCGATATTCTTAAATGAATGGTCTTGTTTGTAGAATAAGGAGGGGAACCCTCGTCCATTGTTGTTATTGTTATATTATATTCCGGCATTGTTTCACGGTCCAAAACATCATCAGACATCAGGCTATAAAAATTTGTCGATGATGACTTGATTTTGAAAGGTAAATCTGGGCTAATAAAACACCTAACATGGCCATTTTTGCCTGAGTCCAAGTCTTTGATATTGAGCATTGCTATAACAGTATCCGGAGCCGAATCCTCTGGTATGGGATTGGAGAGCGAAATTATGCTTATGACAGGGGCATTATCATTTAGGTCTGTCACCTCAATTAGCACTTTACTTGTGTCTGCCAACCCTCCTTTGTCTGTAGCTTCAATGTCTATTTCATAATGTTTCGCTTTCTCGTAATCTAACACACCAATCACGGTCATTTCTCCGGTGTGAGGATCCATATTGAACAGGGATGATGCACTATCAGTGTGCTGGGAGAACGAATACACTACCTCTTCATTTGCTCCTTTATCATTATCAGTGGCACTGACTGTTAAAATAACAGTCCCCCTAGACGCGTTTTCAGGAACTGTTATTCTGTAAACGGACTGACTGAATACTGGTGCATTGTCATTTGCATCCAGAACAACGACATTTATTTTGACAGAACCTGATTTCTGTGGATTACCGCCGTCAAATGCTGTCAGAGTTAATTTATGCTCTTCTTGCGTTTCTCTGTCGAGCGACGTGTGAAGAACCATTTCAATATATTTTGTTCCATCAGACCGAGAAACAACATTCAATTTGAAATTATCAGTAGGGTTCAGTTTGTATGTTTGAATGGTGTTATGTGCTACATCGGGGTCTCTGGCACTCTCAAGCGAATAGCGAGCCCCTTGTGAGGCAGATTCACTAACCTGGAAACTGTATTCCTTCTTCGAAAAAAACGGCGCATTATCATTTATATCTGTAATCTCTACATCAATTCGATGTAACTCCATTGGATTTTCCAGGATGATTTGGAAATGAAGAGAGCAGGGAGAAACTTGCTTGCACAACTCTTCCCTGTCTATCCTTTTAGCCACTACCAAAGTTCCTTTTTCTGCATTCAGACCAATGTACTCACTGCCGTCCTCGGTAAATATCCTAGCCCGACCAGATTTCAGCCGCTTAACATCCAAGCCTAGGTCCTGAATGATATTCCCGACAACCGAGCCTGTCGCCATCTCCTCGGGTATAGAATAACGGACCTGTCCGAGAGCCATTTCTGTGACACAGATGCAGAGAAGCAGCGGCAACCATGAGGATTTTTTTCCTGCCGCACAACAAAGAACACCCGTCATGACGAGAGCCTTTGTTAATCCGAATGAAAAACAAACCACTGTGTCAAAATCCGATAAAATATTTTATAGTGAGCTCACTGCAGAGTGCTGGGCGGCTGGTTCTGTCAGGCTGTAGTTCCGGATAAAACAGAGCTCTAATAACGCCTCAGATAGACGAGGGAGGACTTCACACACTATCCTCACATTAACCAACAGCGGCACTTAGGGACAAAAAAGGGAACTGGAGAAATAGCTATATAAATACGGTCTGAGATCTTATTACCTAAAAAAACAAACAGATAGATAGATAGATAGATAGATAGATAGATAGATAGATAGATAGATAGATAGATAGATGTATCTGTCACACAAAATAACGTGCATGTATAAATGCACCATGTTGCTCTCCAAGGTGCTGAAAAAGAAGAGACCAAAATAATCTACTAACATGCTGGCGGATTTGATTGACAAGTAGTAAGGGATGGCATGTGAAATGCAACACCTTTCTAACCTCTAGAGGAGAGTCTGGTTCATCCAGGATGCTCTTTTCACTCTGTATCCGCTGCATCGTCCCTGTAGAACTGGGGTCCATTATCAGCACGTTCTGACTACCAGCTCTGCCGAACTTACAGTCACTCTTTCTGGAGTCAGTCGTCCTGCACACCTCGTAATTGTACACGTGTTGGAGGGTCCCTGTCCCCAAAGTGTCTGAGTAACGTGGAGGATAATATGGAATCACAGGGAGATTGGAGTGATACAGGACGCGAGACTGTCTCCATCTGTAGATTTTCACTGATATAATAACCACTAAACACGTGATGAAGAGGAAGGAAACTACAGCCAAAGCCAACACTAAGTAAAAAGTCAAGTTGTCATTGTACTCCTTGTCGTGGGTAAAGTCAGTGAACTCCGACAGCACTTCAGGGAAGCTGTCCGCCACCGCCACGTTAACAATGACTGTAGCTGAACGAGAGGGCTGCCCGTTGTCCTCCACTATAACAGTCAGTCTTTGTTTCACAGCATCTTTATCAGTGACTTGGCGGATAGTTCTTATTTCTCCATTCTGTAAGCCCACTTCAAACAGCGCCCTGTCTGTGGCTTTCTGCAGTTTATAGGAGAGCCAGGCATTCTGTCCAGAGTCCACATCAACAGCCACCACTTTAGTGACCAGATAGCCCACATCTGCTGAACGAGGCACCATCTCAGCCACCAGAGAGCCACCAGTCTGGACTGGGTACAGAACCTGAGGAGGGTTGTCGTTCTGATCTTGGATCATTATTTTCACACTCACATTGCTACTGAGTGGAGGGGAGCCTCCATCCTGAGCTTTGACACGGAACTGGAAATCTTTGATCTGCTCGTAGTCAAAAGAGCGCACTGCATGGATGACTCCACTATCAGCACTAACGGACACATATGAGGAGACTGGCACTCCGTTAACAGAGGAGTCCTCCAGTATGTAAGAAACACGGGCATTCTGGTTCCAGTCAGCGTCTCTGGCTTTCACTGTGAATATAGAGAGACCTGGTGTGTTGTTTTCTACAATGTAGGCCTCATATGAGCTCCTCTCAAAAACAGGCGTGTTATCATTCACATCAGAGATCTGTAAGGTGAGAGTGACGCTGCTGGAGAGGGAGGGGACTCCCTCATCAGAGCAGGTCACTGTGATATTATACTGAGAGGCTGTCTCCCTGTCTAAACCACTGTCTGTCATTAAACTATAGAAATTGTTGGTTGTAGACTTCATCACAAAAGGAATATTATTATTTATAGTGCACTGGACCTTGCCGTTTTCCCCCGAGTCTGCGTCCTCAATATTTATCATTGTCACAACAGTGCCTGGTTTGGCATCTTCTGATATCACATTTGATTTGGACATTATATGGATATCGGGTTTATTGTCATTCATGTCAATGACGTCTATCATCAATTTACATGAGTCAACTAGTCCTCCGTCATCACTTGCACGAATGTTTATTTGAAATGTCCGAGCTTTTTCATAGTCAACATTTCCTTTCAGCCGAATTTCACCACTTTCATCATTTACTTCAAATAACCCACGGGCATTATCTAGTACACTTGAAATTGAATAAGTTATTCTGCCATTAGATCCATGATCTTCATCTGTTGCAGTCACTGTCGCTACAACTGTTCCTACTGGGGCATTTTCGTTTATAGAGGCTTTATATATAGGTTGGGTAAAAACAGGCGCATTGTCATTCACGTCTAAAACAGTGATTAGAATCTGCATTGTTCCTGTCATCTGCGGCTCTCCTCCATCCACCGCCGTGAGAATTAAAGAAAGGTGTTCATTTTTTTCTCTGTCGAGAGGTTTCTCTAACACCATTTCGACGTTTTTCGTTCCATCTGCTTGATCATGTAACTTAACAACAAAATTATCTGTCGGTTCAAGTTTATATGTTTGCAAGCCATTTGAGCCTACATCGGGATCGACTGCCCGATCTAATATGAATTTAGCCCCACTAACAGCGGATTCACTGATTTTAAAAATCACGTTATTCTTTTCGAAGGATGGAGGGTTATCGTTAACATCTGTGATTTCAATAGTTACACTATAAAATTCCATCGGATTCTCTAATATAATCTGAAAATGCAAAGCGCAAGGCGTCGTTTGTCCACAGAGATCCTCTCTGTTTATCCTGTTTTTGATGAGGAGGACTCCTCTTTCGTTATTTAGCTCAATATATTCGTCACTGTCTCGTGTAAAAATGCGAGCTTTTCCCGATTTTAGTCTTTTCACATCTAAGCCAAAATCCCTTGCCATATTGCCCACAAGAGAACCTCTCGGCATTTCCTCGGGAATGGAGTAGCTGACCTGTCCGAGCACCGAGCTGAGAGAGAGGACCGAGAAAAACAGCAGTACTTGCCCTCTCATTGTTCTGTCCGACGTCTTCCCAGTGTAAACCCAAGTATAGCTTTTGGATATTTGCCCTCAGATTTTTGTCAGTCAACGACGGGTTTTAAAGTGTACTTCCCAAATGCAAAAAAAAGATTTCCTGTTCTGAGTGTCTGGTATATTCCGGACGGTGTGCTTCGGTCTCTTTCTCTCTCTAAAATAAAGACATGATGGGAGGTACAGTGAGTCTGCGGTAAATCTAATACAGACTGGCCAACAGCGGCACGCTGAGTTCAACAAGTAAAATTGCATGTGAAATGTGAAAAAACTGATTGATATGCCTAGGTTAAGGTTCAAAAACAGAAAATGAAACCCCATCTTCAGTGAGTGCAGGGGCATTGTTTAATATCACAATTTATTGATAAATAAAATGGAGCCAAAATGGAGGACATGAGGATATGTTTGAAAAAAGAATGATAGAATAGAATATCCAATTTAAAGAGACAATGATAATATAACTGGATTTAAGTGTAAAAGACGTGGCTTTCAATATGTAATCACGTCGCTCTCCAAGGTGCTGAAAAGAGGAGGAAAGTGATTTAATGCTTGACTTCAACGTAGGAACAAATAGCTAGCAAATTCTAACCTCTAGAGGAGAGTCTGGTTCATCCAGGATGCTCTTTTCACTCTGTATCCGCTGCATCGTCCCTGTAGAACTGGGGTCCATTATCAGCACGTTCTGACTACCAGCTCTGCCGAACTTACAGTCACTCTTTCTGGAGTCAGTCGTCCTGCACACCTCGTAATTGTACACGTGTTGGAGAGTCCCTGTCCCCAAAGTGTCTGAGTAACGTGGAGGATAATATGGAATCACAGGGAGATTGGAGTGATAAAGGACGCGAGACTGTCTCCATCTGTAGATTTTCACTGATATAATAACCACTAAACACGTGATGAAGAGGAAGGAAACTACAGCCAAAGCCAACACTAAGTAAAAAGTCAGGTTGTCATTGTACTCCTTGTCGTGTGTAAAGTCAGTGAACTCCGACAGAACTTCAGGGAAGCTGTCCGCCACCGCCACGTTAACAATGACTGTAGCTGAACGAGAGGGCTGCCCGTTGTCCTCCACTATGACAGTCAGTCTTTGTTTCACAGCATCTTTATCAGTGACTTGGCGGATAGTTCTTATTTCTCCATTCTGTAAGCCCACTTCAAACAGCGCCCTGTCTGTGGCTTTCTGTAGTTTATAGGAGAGCCAGGCATTCTGTCCAGAGTCCACATCAACAGCCACCACTTTAGTGACCAGATAGCCCACATCTGCTGAACGAGGCACCATCTCAGCCACCAGAGAGCCACCAGTCTGGACTGGGTACAGAACCTGAGGAGGGTTGTCGTTCTGGTCCTGAATCATTATTTTCACACTCACATTGCTACTGAGTGGAGGGGAGCCTCCATCCTGAGCTTTGACGCGGAACTGGAAATCTTTGATCTGCTCGTAGTCAAAAGAGCGCACTGCATGGATGACTCCACTATCAGCACTAACGGACACATATGAGGAGACTGGCACTCCGTTAACAGAGGAGTCCTCCAGTATGTAAGAAACACGGGCATTCTGGTTCCAGTCAGCGTCTCTGGCTTTTACTGTGAATATAGAGAGACCTGGTGTGTTGTTTTCTACAATGTAGGCCTCATATGAGCTCCTCTCAAAGACAGGCGCGTTATCATTCACGTCAGAGATCTGTAAGGTAAGAGTGACGCTGCTGGAGAGGGAGGGTACTCCCTCATCAGAGCAGGTCACTGTGATGTTATACTCAGAGGCTCTCTCTCTGTCTAAATCACTGTCTGTCACTAAACTATAGAAATTATTTGATGTCGATTTTAAAACGAAAGGAATATTTTCATTTATAAAACACTGAACTCTCCCATTGTCGCCTGAGTCTGGGTCTTGGATGTTAATCATCGTAACGACTGTGTTGGGGTTTGCACTCTCTGATATAATAGCTGATTTAGACATGATTTTAATAGTTGGTTCATTGTCATTTATATCGACTACATCGACAATCACTTTACAGGAATCAGTTAATCCTCCGTTATCTCTTGCGCGTACATTAATCTGAAAATTTCTTTTCTTTTCATAATCCAAACGTCCAATCAACCTAACCTCACCATTTTCCTCATTTATTTCAAACATATGTCTGACATCATCTAAAGTATTGGTGATTGAATACGTTATTTTACCATTTAATCCATGATCAGCGTCTGTCGCACTGACCGTAGTCACGATAGTGCCTTTTGCAGCATTTTCAGCGACAGTGCCTTTGTATATCGGCTGAGTAAAAACAGGTGCATTGTCATTCGCATCTAACACTGTGATGAGAATCTGCATTGTTCCTGACATCTGTGGCTCTCCTCCATCTAAAGCTGTCAACGCCAAAGAAATTAGCTCATGTTTCTCTCTGTCCAGAGACTTTTGTAACACCATTTCCACATTCTTTGTACCATCGGCTTGGGTGTGAAGTTTAAGTAAAAAATTATCACTTGGCTTAAGTAGGTAGCTTTGGAGAGTGTTGGTACCTACATCCAAATCTACAGCTCTTTCCAAGTCAAATTTTGCCCCAACAACAGCAGACTCGCTTATTATGAATTTAATTTCGTTTTTTTCAAAGGTTGGTGCATTATCGTTGATGTCTGTAATCTCAACTGTTACGCTGTAAAACTCCATAGGATTCTCTAACACAATCTGAAAATGTACAGCACACGGTGTTGTATCACCGCACAACGCCTCTCTGTCTATTCTTTCTTTGATAAGGAGGACTCCTCTTTCGCTGTTCAGCTCGATGTATTCTCTGCTATCGCCAGAATAAACACGAGCGTTACCCAGCTTCAGTCGTTTAATGTCTAAACCCAAATCCTGAGCTATATTACCAACCAAAGAGCCTTTCGCCATTTCCTCCGGAATAGAGTAGCTGACCTGTCCGAATACTGAGCTCATAGAGACGATCGAAATAAACAACAGTACTTGCCGTCTCATGGTTTCAAATAATATCGACACAAAAACAGAGCAACCTCGTAAAATCCGTCAGAAGATGGAGAGTCATTCAAACAAAATATGAAGAAAAAAATAGTCCTCAAAATGTTCACCAAAAGAATGACCGTCGTGCTTTGTCATGTATTCTGGTCCCTTTACCGAAGACAATGCGGTCTACGCCAGCCCTTTCTCTCTAATACATCGAAATGAAGAGGCGGTACTGCTGTAAATATATAACTGCAACAGACTAGGCAACAGCGGCCCATTGAGTTCAGACAGCAAAAGTGCAGAAACGTGTCATGTGAGGGGAAAGGTAGATATGGTGAAAAATGACGTATAACGGTTAGAATTAAATTGTAATACAATGTATTCCTAGTTAAATTTTAATTATAATATTATCTAAATGTTTAAGACATATTTGCAAAGATCTGAAGAACATTCAAAGTTTGGATGTGAACACTGGCCATTTTCTATCTATCACACAAAATAACGTGCACGTATAAAGGCTCCATGTTGCTCTCCAAGGTGCTGAAAAAGAAGAGACCAAAATAAACTACCAACATGCTGGCGGATTTGATTAAAGCCATTGGTAATAACAAGTAGAAAGGGAGGGCGTGTGAAATGCAACACCTTTCTAACCTCTAGAGGAGAGTCTGGTTCGTCCAGGATGCTCTTTTCACTCTGTATCCGCTGCATCGTCCCTGTAGAACTGGGGTCCATTATCAGCACGTTCTGACTACCAGCTCTGCCGAACTTACAGTCACTCTTTCTGGAGTCAGTCGTCCTGCACACCTCGTAATTGTACACGTGTTGGAGAGTCCCTGTCCCCAAAGTGTCTGAGTAACGTGGAGGATAATATGGAATCACAGGGAGATTGGAGTGATACAGGACGCGAGACTGTCTCCATCTGTAGATTTTCACTGATATAATAACCACTAAACACGTGATGAAGAGGAAGGAAACTACAGCCAAAGCCAACACTAAGTAAAAAGTCAGGTTGTCATTGTACTCCTTGTCGTGTGTAAAGTCAGTGAACTCCGACAGCACTTCAGGGAAGCTGTCCGCCACCGCCACGTTAACAATGACTGTAGCTGAACGAGAGGGCTGCCCGTTGTCCTCCACTATAACAGTCAGTCTTTGTTTCACAGCATCTTTATCAGTGACTTGGCGGATAGTTCTTATTTCTCCATTCTGTAAGCCCACTTCAAACAGCGCCCTGTCTGTGGCTTTCTGCAGTTTATAGGAGAGCCAGGCATTCTGTCCAGAGTCCACATCAACAGCCACCACTTTAGTGACCAGATAGCCCACATCTGCTGAACGAGGCACCATCTCAGCCACCAGAGAGCCACCAGTCTGGACTGGGTACAGAACCTGAGGAGGGTTGTCGTTCTGGTCCTGGATCATTATTTTCACACTCACATTGCTACTGAGTGGAGGGGAGCCTCCATCCTGAGCTTTGACGCGGAACTGGAAATCTTTGATCTGCTCGTAGTCAAAAGAGCGCACTGCATGGATGACTCCACTATCAGCACTAACGGACACATATGAGGAGACTGGCACTCCGTTAACAGAGGAGTCCTCCAGTATGTAAGAAACACGGGCATTCTGGTTCCAGTCAGCGTCTCTGGCTTTCACTGTGAATATAGAGAGACCTGGTGTGTTGTTTTCTACAATGTAGGCCTCATATGGGCTCCTCTCAAAAACAGGCGCGTTATCATTCACATCAGAGATCTGTAAGGTGAGAGTGACGCTGCTGGAGAGGGAGGGTACTCCCTCATCAGAGCAGGTCACTGTGATATTATACTCAGAGGCTCTCTCTCTGTCTAAATCACTGTCTGTCACTAAGCTATAGAAATTATTTGATGTCGATTTTAAAACGAAAGGAATATTTTCATTTATAAAACACTGAACTTTCCCATTGTCGCCTGAGTCTGGGTCTTGGATATTAATCATTGTAACGACTGTGTTGGGGTTTGCACTCTCTGATATAATAGCTGATTTAGACATGATTTTAATAGTTGGTTCATTGTCATTTATATCGACTACATCGACAATCACTTTACAGGAATCAGTTAATCCTCCGTTATCCATTGCGCGTACATTGATCTGAAAATTTCTTTTCTTTTCATAATCCAAACGTCCAATCAACCTAACCTCACCATTTTCCTCATTTATTTCAAACATATGTCTGACATCATCTAAAGTATTGGTGATTGAATACGTTATTTTACCATTTAATCCATGATCAGCGTCTGTCGCACTGACCGTAGTCACGATAGTGCCTTTTGCAGCATTTTCAGCGACAGTGCCTTTGTATATCGGCTGAGTAAAAACAGGTGCATTGTCATTCGCATCTAAAACTGTGATGAGAATCTGCATTGTTCCTGACATCTGTGGTTCTCCTCCATCTAAAGCTGTCAACGCCAAAGAAATTAGCTCATGTTTCTCTCTGTCCAGAGACTTTTGTAACACCATTTCCACATTCTTTGTACCATCGGCTTGGGTGTGAAGTTTAAGTAAAAAATTATCACTTGGCTTAAGTAGGTAGCTTTGGAGAGTGTTAGTACCTACATCCAAATCTACAGCTCTTTCTAGAACAAATTTTGCCCCAACAACAGCAGACTCGCTAATTATGAATTTAATTTCGTTTTTTTCAAAGGTTGGTGCATTATCGTTGATGTCTGTAATCTCAACTGTTACGCTGTAAAACTCCATAGGATTCTCTAACACAATCTGAAAATGTACAGCACACGGTGTTGTATCACCGCACAACGCTTCTCTGTCTATTCTTTCTTTGATAAGGAGGACTCCTCTTTCGCTGTTCAGCTCGATGTATTCTCTGCTATCGCCAGAATAAACACGAGCGTTACCAAACTTCAATCGTTTAATGTCTAAACCCAAATCCTGAGCTATATTACCAACCAAAGAGCCTTTCGCCATTTCCTCCGGAATAGAGTAGCTGACCTGTCCGAATACTGAGCTCATAGAGACGATCGAAATAAACAACAGTACTTGCCGTCTCATGGTTTGAAATAATATCGACACAAAAACAGAGCAACCTCGTAAAATCCGTCAGAAGATGGAGAGTCATTCAAACAAAATATGAAGAAAAAAAATAGTCCTCAAAATGTTCACCAAAAGAATGACCGTCGTGCTTTGTCATGTATTCTGGTCCCTTTACCGGAGACAATGCGGTCTACGCCAGCCCTTTCTCTCTAATACATCGAAATGAAGAGGCGGTACTGCTGTAAATATATAACTGCAACAGACTAGGCAACAGCGGCCCATTGAGTTCAGACAGCAAAAGTGCAGAAACGTGTCATGTGAGGGGAAAGGTAGATATGGTGAAAAATGACGTATAACGGTTAAAATTAAATTGTAATACAATGTATTCCTAGTTAAATTTTAATTATAATATTATCTAAATGTGTAAGACATATTTCAAAAGATCTGAAGAACATTCAAAGTTTGGATGTGAACACTGGCCATTTTCTATCTATCACACAAAATGACGTGAATGTATAAATGCTCCATGTTGCTCTCCAAGGTGCTGAAAAAGAAGAGACCAAAATACCAACATGCTGGCGGTTTTGATGAAAACCATTTGTAATAACAAGTAGTAAGGGAGGGCGTGTGAAATGCAACACCTTTCTAACCTCTAAAGGAGAGTCTGGTTCGTCCAGGATGCTCTTTTCACTCTGTATCCGCTGCATCGTCCCTGTAGAACTGGGGTCCATTATCAGCACGTTCTGACTACCAGCTCTGCGGAACTTACAGTCACTCTTTCTGGAGTCAGTCGTCCTGCACACCTCGTAATTGTACACGTGTTGGAGAGTCCCTGTCCCCAAAGTGTCTGAGTAACGTGGAGGATAATATGGAATCACAGGGAGATTGGAGTGATACAGGACGCGAGACTGTCTCCATCTGTAGAT